TGTGTGTGTGTGTGTGTGTGTGTGTGTGTGTGTGTGTGTGTGTGTGTGTGTGTGTTTGTCTTGCCATCTGATCGTTCCCTTGAAAAATTTCCATAGCTGTGTCAGCCTTTAATCATGCCTCAATTACACCTTCCTTTCATTCCTCCTCTCTCTCCATTTCTCTACCTCCTACAGACTGTCTGATCTGGAAATTTATCAAAGGCATCACATTAAGCAAGCAAGTCACTTACTCCAGTGAAATACTGCTGGAACCTTTAAGCCCCCTGTAAACCCCATGTGGTGCAGAGATGATTAGGATGGGCATAATGACAGGATAGTGCAGATAGCAGTTTGCGAAGATGGAAGAGAATTCAGGAAGAAGAGAAGAGGAGGGCTGGCTGTAGTAAAATATTATTGTAGAGTATAAAGCACAAGTTCAGGGACAGGCTGACCACATCTATCTTGTGTTATATATGTGTTTTTATCTTGTTGTTTTTTTGTTTGCTTTATTTTTGCAGAGCCCATCTGTGTGTAATACTATCTGAATGATAGTATGTGTTTATTTGTCACTGTCATCCTGCAGCAGATGTATGGGTTGAAGGGGAGCTGCCCCCAGGCTGGCGGGAGATCTCAGACTCATCAGAGGTCTATTTTTGGCACGTGCCCACCGGCACTACGCAGTACGACCGACCTGTTGCCTCAAGCAAACACACCGTTTCTAGCAATGATGCTGAGAATGACCCACAACAGGTCACACAGGACTCCCTTAAGCCACCCAATGAGGTGAGACGACCCAGAGAACTAAATAGACTTCAAGATTAAAAGCACGTTTAAAAGTATAATGAGATCTTTTATGTATAAGATCTTAACAGCATTATGTATCTTAACGCTCTCAGTCAGGATTTAATTCTGCTGAATTTTAACCGCAGCAAACAGATGTAGATGCAGATGTTCAAATATAATGTATTAATGCAGATACTTTTAAAAAGTTCCCTGCGTTTTCTTTGAGAGAAATTTATGTTTAGATGTTCACTATATGGGATTTTCGTCCTTTGGAGATGTCAACCCTACACTTTTTACACTACATAACTACAAGCAGATGCTGATGAACAGTAAGATGTGGTTGAAAGGTCTGAAAAAGCTTCAATTTACAAATTTATTTAAAAAAAAATGTTGCTTTTTCGAACAAGTCCATGTAGTGGCTTGTAACTAAACCCAACACAAATTAAAAGACAGGCTTTACCATCTTCTGTGTTGTGTTTAGAAAGAATCCTCCATATATGAAAGCTGCTGCTGATCAATGATGTACCATCCATCATCAGTCTGTTTGTGCAGCTCTGTCATCACCCATCTGTCTCTCCCACAGCGCCCCAGCAGCCTGATATCCGACAGCTCCGTGGAGCCGGTCCCCTCGCCCTCTGGATCCTCCCCCTCCCCTTCCTCCTCCTCCTCCACCCCTTTCAATGACATCACCTCTTCTGTACAAAGTCTCAACACCACCACCAGCTGCACAGCCACCGTAAGTCACAATTATTGAAACTGTCTCTTTTTTTATTTGAGAAGAAGTCGGTTGTTTAAAAATACAAAGATTTATTTCCTTTCTGAATATCTGGGGTTTTTTTTCATGCTCCAGGATCTAAAGGACTATCCAGTCTATCCTGATCCCAGCCTTAAGGCATTTGAAGGAGCTACTCTTCGCTATGCTTCACTCAAGCTCAAGTAATAGTCACAGACATACTCACACTTAGTGCTACAGACTTTCTTCTTGTGTGGCAAGGACTCAGTCATGATATTTTGCATGTATTCACGTGTAAAATGTGATTTTAATGTGGCTGTTATTTTAATCCCTGATGTTTCTCTGCAGCCCTCCTGCCCAGCTAGAGACAGTGGACCTTAACAGCACATTCTCTGATCCGGAGGCAATGGTAAGTTCAAAACAACAACATATAATAACACAGGCTTTATAATGGCATCTGAAATAACTCTAATATGCTGGGATTTTTACTAAATAAAAATGCTCACTGAATAGAGAGCGTTCTTTATAGTTTGATTATTTGTTTTCTTGTGGTTTACTATAGCCAGCAGGGGCGAAGTTACAGGCATTTACAATACAGTTAAAGGCCCCAAAACAAGTAATGTCATTTGTGAGGAGGCTTATGAATAGCTTACATTTGTGTGTGTGTGTGTGTGTGTGTGTGTGTGTGTGTGTGTGTGTGTGTGTGTGTGTG